TCATGTTTTGACACGGCAGTTAAACTGAATGAAGTTTAGAGGACTTTTCCTTCTCTTTCCAGGTAGCTTGTCCTATCAGGAGTAATGGTTTAATTTGAAACCTCGAAGGAAAAAAAAAATACCCCCAAAAAATCCAAAAAACAAAAATTGTGCAATGGAAGTGGCACCTCCCTAGTAGCAGTTCCAAAATTGGAAGTATGGGTGAAAACACTTAAGTGGAAAACTCTTGAAAAGGATGGCTTGTGAATTCTAATGGGGTTTCCATTGTGGGCTGCAACTGGCAGGGTACTGTAGTTCTTGAAATAACAACACGGGCCGGACCAGTCCTTCTGCATGAAATGATTTGGGCGCTTTTGCGAGTAGCACTTTTATATAAGTGATTAAAAACATCATGGGGAGGGGACAGTGTGGGGATGAAGGTGGCAAACTCCAATTTAGTTTAACGAGCTGTGCTCATGGATGGGTGCTTCTGCTGAATGTCAACTTAAGAGTACAGTGGGGGGGGGAACTGTGATATGATAAAGAACAGAAAATGGCATGAGTACAGAGGAGTATGAGAATGAAGGACAAAATTTGATATAGGGAGTGAGAAGTGGAGAGCCATTCATGTTTTGACACGGCAGTTAAACTGAATGAAGTTTAGAGGACTTTTCCTTCTCTTTCCAGGTAGCTTGTCCTATCAGGAGTAATGGTTTAATTTGAAACCTCGAAGGAAAAAAAACACCCCCAAAAAATCCAAAAAACAAAAATTGTGCAATGGAAGTGGCACCTTCCTAGTAGCAGTTCCAAAATTGGAAGTATGGGTGAAAACACTTAAGTGGAAAACTCTTGAAAAGGATGGCTTGTGAATTCTAATGGGGTTTCCATTGTGGGCTGCAACTGGCAGGGTACTGTAGTTCTTGAAATAACAACACGGGCCGGACCAGTCCTTCTGCATGAAATGATTTGGGCGCTTTTGCGAGTGAAAAAGCAGGAAGGGGGCTTACTCTGGGAATCATAAAACAGAGGGACAGCAGTGTTTTAATTCTTCCAGTGCTTTTTTCTCTTAATCCTCAGTTCCTGAATTCGTATGACTGCATAAGACTATCAAATTTCATATGAGAGGGAGTAGATTTATAGCCTTGGTGTTTGCAATGGAAACCTTGCACAATATGAACTCTGAAGGTTCAAACAGAAAGCAAAAAGTCCCAGCTCTGTCGTTAAAACTTGTAGTTTAAAATCCTTGGAGTTCTTCATAATATGAGAGTTGCAATACAAGTGTTACACAGAAAAAAAGTGAAGAAATTGTAATGTTTCTTCCTGTTCCATATGCCTGGCATGGGCCAGACTTACAAAAGGGTAAAACACTACATCATTTAAGTGAGGCTCATAACCAGACTTCCTTGACAAGCTATGTTTCTAATTCCCTTTTCCCTCATACTTAGCTGCCTTCACACTACTGGATTTTGTTCTAGCAGCTTCTGACTGGTATTTCCATGTCTGCTCTGACTTGGGGTCACTATCAAGGGAGCGTTCCTGTATGTCAATACACCTGTGGAGATACTGGCTTTAATGGAAGTATTTCAAGCACATAGTCAATATCAGGCTTGCTTCTTTCTTAAAATACTTTTTATTTAAACATGAGAAATAAAGCTTAATCTTTCATTGGGTTCTATTAAAATTTGGTGGTAGTGTAAATGAAAATTAGTCCTCCCTTGGATTTTACAGAAAAAAATCTGTGGCTTTCATCTTCAAAGCCACAACAGACTGTTCTGAATGTTCCTTCTTTTGTGGCCTGAAAGAATTAAGAAAATATGCACATGCTTCATTTCTAATGTGTGTTTTAACTTAATCTCATAACAAGAAGATTGGTGGAAGAGAAGCAGGCGCTGTGGTGGAGTAATGAGAACAAATCTCTAGATTTTTCTTCTTAATGGCTAAACACTTGGGATTCACATTATTTCCTTTTGTCCTAATTTCCTTGTGCTTATGTCCATGTTTTCTTCCCTGGAGGGAACTGCAAATAAAGGATTCAGAGTTCTCTCTAATTATAGTGTGTTGCTGGTACAATGGCTAATATGCCTAAGCAGAAAAGTATCTCAAGACAGTTGTGTCTGAAACTGGGCTTTGCTGCTTTGTGTTCTGTTGTATTTCAGAGGCCCCTTACTCAGTTTTGTTCCTGTGTTGGTAGGTCAGTAGATCTGAGCCACCCCAGATCAGGTATGAAAATGGGGGAAATTTCAAGGCCTGAAGGAGTGTATGTAGTTATGAAAAACAATTTTACTAACTTAGGAAAGACCAGTGAAATCGAGGAAGGATGAGTGACCAACCTAATCCATTTTCTCTGCTCAGAAGTAAAGCCTTCAAACTTACTCCAGCTCATGCAGTATTGGAAGTGTGCTTGACTAAAGGTCTTCAGTTTGAAATCTATTAGAATTTCTTTAATTTCTTCTTTGTGTGATACTGTCCTGTCTTCAGTGCTCTTTGTGACCATTTTTGTTTCCAGAGTGAAGGTGTGACTCTTCCACCAAGGGAGCCTCGGTTAGCAGTCTTTCAAATCAGTCTTAGTAGTGGGGTAGACTGAATTCAGAACAGTGAAGAAACACTTAGTTTACTGTCCTGGGTTTGGCCAGGACAGGGTTAATTTTCACCGGACTCCAGGAAGGGGCACAGCCGGGGGGTGGGGCTGACCCCACCTGGCCGAACAGAGCCCGGTGTTCCATACCACGTGACGTCACGCTGGGTTCCGACGGGGGGCGGCGCGGCGGGAAGGCACTCGCGGCTTGGGCGGGCGCAGCGCCGGTCCGGTTTCGGGAGAGCGGCTGTTGTACGGTCCGTGGTTGTGTTTTCTCCTTATCTGTATCGTTGTTGTTCCTGTTTTCCCTCTGTTTGCTGTTCTGTTAAACTGCCCTTATCCCGACCCACCAGTTTCTGCCTGGTTCTTTTCATTCTCCTCCGCACGCCGGCGGGGGGAGGGGCGGCCGCGTGGCGCTTTTGTTGCCGGCGGCAGCCGAAACCGAAACATTTACAAATTAACTGGCCACAGTAATGCGATGCATTGAGGGAGGTCTCTCAGCTTTACTGTTCGAGATAGAAATGAAGTCTTCCAGTTGGCTTCCTTCAGTGGCCGCCTTGCTGTGTATTGCAGCCTGTTTCCTTGCCTGTAGAGTCTCATGCTTATTGTGTGTTTTACCTGCATGCTGCTCTCTGCCTTCTCCCGTACTGCTGGCGATCTGGTTTGATGTTCAGCAGTAAAACGTCTAGTAACCTCGCCATTTGTGTATCCGCCTAACTGATTCTTTAATTTGAGCCTACTCTTACAAGTGGCTAAGTAAAGTTACTTGATAGATTGCCTTGCACTGCAGACAGACAGTTATGTATTTGAGTGACTAGTGGGTTTTATGGCTGTGTTTTGTCTTCATCCCAGTGGGGCAATGTGCAGTTGCTGGGGACTGACGCAAAGCTTGTTGTGGCTGACACATGTCAATGGTTTGCTTCCAGAAATCACGTAATACTTGGTTTTTTTGCAGAATAACTATTGTTGAGGCGTGTGTAAGGAGGAGTCAAGCTTACTTGCCTTTTGACTTCCAGTCATCTGAATTGGTAGCAGGGCAGTGAAAGCCGGTGAAGGAAAGGCTGAAGGTTAGCTAACAAGTATCAGTAACTAAGCCAATTCCCTGCTTCCATCTGTGACAAACTGCTCCAGTCCCTATATATCCTTCCTGATGTATCCAAGTCGTAG